GGGGGGCAACACTTGTGGTTGGAGGAAAAAAAAAAATCTGGGTCAGACGCAGAGTTGATAATGCTGATACCTAGTAGTCTCTATGGAAACACAAGCTCCACCCCATCCTCCCCCCACAACCTGACTTCCTCTTGCCTGAAGCAGAAGCTGGCAACATCGGACAGCATGCATGCATGAGAGTGAGGGAGAGAGAGAGAGGCAGGCAGAGAGTCTCTTTAAAAAAAAGAGAGAGAAAGACGTAGGGGGGAATCGACATCCTCTTCATGTCTGTTTATTTAGCTCTACACTATAAAGCAATTGTGCTTCCCTAAAGAGGAACAATGCTGTTGAAAAAAAACGAGGATTTTTTGTTAATTACGATAACTCTAATGTACTACTTCCCACGTGGGAATCGTCGTTTCAGTTTCCCCCTCCAGTGGGAGGTCAGAGGTCACGGTCAGCTACGTAACGAGCTGGTAAGGATGCAGACTCTTGTTTCGAGGACGCAGTAGGTCAAATCCTGCCGTAGAGGGGGGGGTTTCTTTATCTAAGCCACCTGGATGGAAACCGTCACACCAAACACAGCCCTGCAACCCTGAATGTGGATTCATACGTCGGCTTGAGTACTCACCTAATTTGTTTTGCATAGCTGATTTCAATCTCTGACCTCTCCTTGACAAATTTGGTGTACTTCTCCACATATTCGATCCCCCACTGTGTATGCTTCTCCAAGTTGTCAAACTGATCCTGCGGAAGAAGAAGAAGGAGGCGTAATGATTAAATCCCAGACAAAAAGGAAGACAAGTCAAGCATTTAAAAGATTAAATAAACCTGTTGAAAACACTGTATTGTAAATATTGTAGCTGCTGATTCTGGATTTAAATGTAATGCCATGATTTATCAAATACATGTAAAATATTACCGGTAATATTGGCGCTGCAGATTCTAATAAATCATAAATATTGTCTTCCAAAAATTCAACTTATACTCAGCCTTGATTATCATACATTATATATAAATATAAATATTGTGCGTCTGCATTCTCTCAACCAAAAGGAGTTGGGCATATACAGCAGGTGTCAGGCAGTGGGTATTCTCAGTCACTGATCAGGAAAAAAAAACCCTCTGACCTACTACCAGGGCTACAATTCATACATTAAAGCCCTTCAAAGGTGGTATACACTGTCCTCTCCAGATGCAACCATTTTGATCTAATATCATCTTAAAGTGAGGTCTGACGGAGGGTAAGTGCAGTTCCTAGTAAAAACAGGCACAGCCTCCACTACTGATAACCAAATGCAGCTGTTGGGGCCGAACTCATTATTCATGATTTGTTCCTGACTTGTGAGGAAAAAATGAGCCTCTAGTTGGCTGAGGTCACGTCTTGAAATCCACCAGTTGAGAAAAAGAGAGCATTACATCTGGGATACCAATGAACACACACACACACACACACACGCCACAGCTCGTGTACTGACGATAATAAGACTACTGCCGAACGATCTTCTTAAGATAGTGTGGGTGTAATTTTAAAGATGAACCAAAAGAAAACGACCTTGGTGTGGCTCCAACAGTCCCCCATCCTCTCCTCCACCATGTCTGGAGTCTTCCTCAATCCAGCTAATAGTTTCTCTAGCAAAACACACTAAGCTTGCGAAGTGTCAGCTCAAAAAGCTTCATCCGATTCTCTGAGAAAACCATGTGTACTCAATGACTGCGCTGAGCATCTCTGCACTAAAAGCCTTTTTCATATCACAGGAAGCGGTTGTGGTGATACACTATAGACTACACAGTCTCGAGGCACTTTGAGGTATCTAAAAGTTTACCTGACTTTGCTGTCTAAAATTACAGCATGCTGAAAACTCAAAACAATGCACCATTTAGCTTTATTGAAGTTACATCATGTCGCATTACGTGTGATAAAGATCTCTCCGATACCTTTGAAGCAGCATTCACAAATTAAAAAGGCTCCCAATTGAAGCACTCAAGGACAACAATAGAGAGTACTTTGAGTGAGAGGGACTTTCCAGCCTGCATGGTTACTTAGTTTCAATGAGCAATCGCTCGTCAACAAGCCAATCAACAGAATAATGACAAGATAAAACCAAACGCACTGATATTTTCCCTGAAATAACTAGGGGACTCCTCAGCCTCGTCACTCGTCTTTGTTTTCCTCCCTCAGTTTTTGTGCCCTCAGACACCTATCCACTGTTTGTCCTGTTTCTACAACAAGCTTTCCTTCCCCTTTAACGCCTAAGAGCATGCTCACTCTCAGACCTATGTGCCAACTAAAGCAAAAACACTATTTATGTCATGATCACCAGTCACCAGCCATTCTCGGAAGAAAAGCACACGTCACCGCAGTCCCATCATGCACATACAGCCCTCCTCTCCCAACACACACTCCTCCGCACACATAACTCAGATTACCCTCTTCTGCAGGGGCAACATCTTATCCCGTGTGTCTCCGTGTGGAATGTGTAACCTTCGGAAATATCCCAACTCCAGAAAATGTCCATTCAAAGGCTGAGGTTAGGTCAGAGAAGGCATCCTTGGGACCATTTCCCAGGTATCCAAAGCGCAAGTGCAGATTAGTGTGAGCGTGCCTGAGTGGGGAACAATGTCCGCTGACCCCCGCTCCCACGCGATAACAAAGAAACCGCACAGTTGTAGCAAGTGATTCCCGACTGCCTGGAAGAGGCAAGAATCCCAGAGAGCAGAGGAGGAACCGATGCAGTGCTGGCCTCGCTCGCACACACACACTGAACACACTCTGAATATGAGGCCAGGGCTGCCCTCAGCATTCAGGCTTAATGCTCCATCAGGCGTAAGGTGGAAATAAGTGGGATGGGACAGGAGGACAGTGCGAGAGAGCGGAAAAACAGAGGAGGGGGTGGGGGGGGGGGCTTATAAGATGTGCAAATGACAAAAGGCGGGATTACACAGAGGGATACATTGGGGGTGGGGGTGGGGGGGACTATCCTACACTGCAGGGACCTCATAAAGTCTTCACATTGACATGCCTTAAATAGAATTACATATATATATTACAAAGTAAAGTTTATTGTGTGCAATATGTCGAGTCATTCTGAGCTCATGAGTCTTTGCTAATATGAGACGGGATAGAAGAGGCAGCTGCTCAAGTAAAATGGAAAAGTCATCAACAAAGCAATTCTCCAGCTACAACAGGAAAGCACTTCATAAATTATGAATCGGGGTGAGGCGAATATTGAAGTCAACAACACATTATGTGAAAGTGTGTGAAGTGCAGGCCGTGCTCATCGAAATAGCTAGCCCTGTACATTTTATACAGTGTTAATAATTTGGCACTGGCAATAGTACATGGAAGCAGATTTACAGACAGATAATTAACCAGCATTTAGATATTATTTTTGGTGAAAAAAATAAAATGTGTCTGCAATGAAACCGCTTTCCAGTTACTTAAGTCTGTGCACTGTATGCAAATTATAGTGTCACAGTTGGCTGAACAGTAACTAGACTCATATTTAAACCTGCAGAGGAATTTTTGTAAAACCTCCTCTTATGGCCCCCGTGCTCCAACTTTAGACCTACTTCCATTCTGTCATCCGTGGCCTCACCCAGCCTTGTTCCTGCGGTGCGGGAATGAGTGGGGGACCCTTCCAGGAGGCGAACAAGCCCACTCTGCTTGTTATTTCAGGACACAATCCCACTCACTGTGATGCATGTACTATTGTGGTAGTACATGAAAGAAAATAAATAGAACTGCGCTGCTAAATATTGTCTTATTACCCAGGAAATGGGAAACAGGTTCAAACTGAGAACAAAGGAGACACTTAGCAGTTACTAAATATATGTAGGTTGTCCGTGTGCTGTGAGAAAACAAACACATGCTTGTTTGAGGATCAGCCTCCTGACCTGCAACCCTTCCCAACTGGTGATGGAGATTATGGTGCAGTTTAATGTATTAGACTGCCGGTTAATCTGAACTAATGCACATTATTTAGCTACCATTGCAGATGAGGTCTCTTGATCTGACCCGTACCGAGGGCCCTTTGACCTGCATCCCTTCAGCACAGAGGTTTTCTCTTTTTTCCTCTCTATTTTACTGTGAAAAACATCTGCAGTACCTGAAGATGATACAATATTCATAACTTCTTTCCCTTTCTATTAATAGCATATCAAGTATGACATACAGCAGTAGTCTGTTGGTCATTGTCAGTAAAATGGAGTGAGGCTTGATGCTAAATGCAGTGTCTGAGTGTGACAATAAAAGCAGGTAAATCTTTATGTGGCTTCTTGTTCTTTTTCTTTCTACCACAGAAGGCCGTATAGAGTATTAATAACACGAGTGATAATGGTGAGAGGTAAATATCAGCTGGGGTTATAGTCAGGAAATGATAGAGAGTAGGATATCCTTAGAGCAAATGGCTGAGGGTGTCACAATCAGCTTAATAACAAAACACATCTGTGGCACACATCTGTAAGTGGCTCTCATCCCCATCCTTTCTCCCTGCACGTTTCAAAGACACAAGGTGTGGAATAAATGGAGCGTGTGGAAGAAGTGCTCTGTGAGGTGAACAGATGGCTTTCACATAATAATGCACCTGTCAACCTCAGAGGCAAGCCGGCTCATGATGCAGGAATGCAGATAACACTAAATAGGAACTGTTTGATTTGGTCATCTCGGTTTTTGGGGAAAGATAAAAAGGTAAGACAATGAGATTACGGGTCGGAAACTTCTAGAACAGACGGATCAAGTGTTAGGTTGCCAGACAGAAAGGAAGTGAGCAGCCAAGTTTGATAGACGAGTAGTTTGCAACAAGGTTGGTGATAACGTCTCTGAATAAATGCTCGTGGAGACACTGCTTGTTTCATGGCAGCCTTACTACCACTGCAGAGGGCGGTTGATGCTCTGATGATTGCAGCAAAAAATCAATATGCCATTAAAAACACGAGAGAGGAGGAAAAAGGAAGCCGTGTCATTGGTCGACTGAGGGGAATGAACAAACAGGAAATTGCTGACTTATAACCTAATAAGATGTAAATGCAGATATGAGTCAGCCATTAACAAAAAAACTAAAACATGTGTAGTGTTTTAAATAATTCAAACCCCGCACTAAACGATGCCTTTGTAAATGAAATCGGAAGTGTAATAACTTTTCATTGTCTGTCTTTTTTTTTATCAGAGTTGTACAAATGTTAAATCTAGGGCCAAAAAGCTTCAATAAACAGATCTCTCATTCATTTAATTGGTGGTGTAACTGTACAGATTTCAAGATGGATGTTTTTACGGAGGATTTCACCAATGAGTGCGCCGTGTTGCTGATGAATGAACTGACCCCGAGCATATAACTGAAAGAAATCTCATTTCTGGCTTTACTTTCATGAAAGCGTTAATCAGATTACCCTAACTGTTAACCTACAAGCATTTCCATTCAAATCCTTTCAAATCCAGTGTGCAACGTTTTATTACAACTATGAAACTGGATCCAGTAGTATGAATTAAGTCCTGCAGCAAAACTTTTCTTTAACTTTCCAACGCTGGGCGTTAAAGCTTTCACAACTAACCTTTACACTTTACAAACTTAGCTTCAAGCTTTCAGATTGTGTCAGTGGTTTCTATATTAAGACTGACAAGAAACCTGTAGGAACAAAGGAAAGCAGACGTCACACCAAAGGGGAATCCACAAAGGCTAAGGGGACAGATGTTCTGCTGAAGGAAGACAATGGGACAAGAGGCTTATAGGTGCTTTTGTCTTTTTTTT